TCGTAAGATAATTGACTTAATTAAGATAAAAGAGACAAATAAGGGAATAAGATTTGAAGCAGAACCAAGAAAGGAGATGGTTTCTGATTAGAGGCTCCCAATAAGTCCCGCTGTAACCATTTTGCACGTAACTGAGTGGACAGAGGGTCTAGAGAGCACTCCCATCACAGAGATCAGACAGATAGGAAGACAGAAAGGTGGCAAGAATTCCTTTTTCATTTTTTTGGCTCTTGACCCTCAACTCTGGACCAGAGGAATACCTGAAAGAGTGAACACTTCCAGGGGTTCTGCTGCACACACAGAAGGATCTGCGTAGTGAGGCTAGCTAGCCGATGATAAAGAGGGAGGAGTCAACAGGAAGAACTTGCCTTGCAGCAGGCGTGTCTTCCAAAGCAGGTCTGGCCAGCCCTGGGCTGTTTCAGTAGGAGAACCACCTGGATGGACTTGAGAGGAAAAAAGGAAAACAAAACCTTGAGTTAATCACAAGGCACAACAATAACATCTTGAAGTTTCTCAGGCAACTTTGAAGGCAAGAGGCCATAAAGTAGCGATAAAATCATTCTCATTTTGCTGTGATTTTAGATTTTAATGTCTAATCTGTTTTATTCTGTTCCCCCTTTTCTCGTGGGGTCGGGGGCTCTTACTTCTGGAAATACCCAAAAAGAGCCATACAGCCAAACTAAAATTGTTCCTTATAAAACCCCACCACCTGGTCAAGAGCCAATACCAGCTGATAGATACCAGAGCAGCATCTGCATTGAGCTGTAAGAGCAGTGAAAATATAATCCCATCTCCTGATCGTGTCTACTAGGAAGCACTGGAGAGAGCTTAAAAATGTACCAACATATATTCATATAATTATTATAAATACAACGCCTAAAAATCAACCGAAAATTTCTACTCACATGCGGAATCAAGACAGTAGCTCAAACAAGTGAGCAAGAGGTAAAGCTAAAATTTGCATTGGAAAGAGTGCAGGCTTTGGAACCGCCCGATAAGGAATTCAGGAAAATGGTACTTAAGTGTATCCTATAAGGAAGAAGTCAACAGATATACGGACAATATAAAACCTGCACAAAAATGGTCCACTCATCAATACTAAAATATCAAATGAAAGGAGGAAAAGTGAAGGATGGTGATTCAAGTCCCAGAATAGGACAAATCAAACAATCACAGAAGAGGTATAGTCTAAGAACTGCTGGAAGAAAATTTCCCTAATGTCTTCAAAGATAAGACAATAAGAACTCAAGAAGCTAAACAAACCCCAGGAAGGATAGACCCCAAAAGAAAATCACCAGGATATATATATTCAAACTCCAAAACCAAAGGTAAAAAGAGAATCCTGAAAGCAGCTAGGGAAAAAAAGCATTACTTACAAAGGCAAGCCAGTAAGATTAAGCTGTGATCTCTGCGTAGAAACAATGCCAACAGGAAGGCAATGGGAAGACACATAAAAAAAAATCTGAAAGAAAAAACTGGCAACCAAAAATCATTTACCTAGCAAAGTTGTCAACCAATTTATGATGGTGAAATCAGAACATTCCTGGATAAACGTAAGTTAGGGACTTTATAAGAGCCAAGCCAGTGCTTCAAAACATACTAAAGTGCATTCTTTGGACTGAGACCCAAACAACAACCAGAGATTAATATACATGGCAAGACTACCCAGAACTCAGTTGAAAGATGGATGAGTACAGAGCACAACAAAAGTACAAGAATGAAATCAGGATGTGTGATGTCAGTCTGATTAAAACAACTGCAGTGCAAAAGAAGGGGGAAATACACCAACAAAAACCAGGTGGAGAGAAGGACAGAGTTATGAATAAGTTTCAGTATATAGTTATGTCATGAATAGCTCCATTACGTCCTAGACAACCTGAAATGTTGGCAATAAAGACTCACATACTGAATATGGGCAGTGAGCATTGGGTAGAAAAAAAAACTTTATGCTTTCAAAGCCCCAGAATTGAAGACCTTGTATTTACCTTATTGTAAGTCTTAAAACTTGAAGTAGCTTTCGTATTAAATTTATTGGCCCATATACTGATCAAGAAAGGACTAAGATGTTGGAATCTGAGTTTATTCTACATTATGTTTCTGAAAGTCTGTTTCATTTTCTCCTACCAACTTCCTCCATGGGTTGGAAACACGGCCACAACCTATCAGATTCATATTACTTCAGTTTCAAAATTCCCTCTTTCCTTAGTTCCAATTTGAAAAATCCCAGAAGGAATCTGAATGACCCATGTTAGATCAGACACCACCCTTGTCCAGGCCACTTCCATTTAGTCTATATAGTTAACATGTCACATTCTGTTCTGGGCAGATAAAAGCTAACAATAATAGTGTTTAACCACTGTACCACCAGGATTCCTTGGTAAATCTTAAACACTTAGCTGCTAACCTCTAGAGGTCAGCAGTTCAAATCCACCAACAGCTCAAAGGGAGAAAGATGTGTCAGTATGCTTCCATATAGATTTACAGCCTTGGAAACCTTGTGGGGCAGTTCTTCTCTGTCACATGGGGCCACTGTGATGAGTCAGAATCGAGTCTTAAGATTTACCTGGCCTGTTCCCCAACCAGACCAGAGAAGCTAAAGAGCAGACTTAAAAACTGCTGACAACAAAAATGAGAAACTTAAATGCAACTGAGGTATAGTTCGTCGAATAAGGGACTTAAGAGTACAACCACCGAGATAGCACTGTGTACCTCGAAACTTGACATAAAGTCTCTTGGTGACATGGTACAATTGAAGATAACAATGTTTTTTTTAAAACTTTGTGGAGTTTAACAATATAAGTTTGAGCTTGCTGCCTCATGTGTACAGTGGCTGTAATTCCACTGATTATGTAGGGTATTAATAGTTAAACTATGTAGGGTATAATAGTTAAACAACATAATGTATGTAATTGCTCAGCACACTGCTTGGCATATAGTAAATAGTGAGATCGAATGGAAGAATAATGTTTAACTGCCCAGCAGCAACAAGAAACTGTTAACAGTTTTTTCTTCAAACGCCTAGCAGTCATTTATAATAAGAAAACGATGTTGCATTAACCAAGTTTTAGTAAGGAACAAGTCAGAGATCATTAGGGAAGTTTCACTTAGAAAGACTAATGTCTTACGTCTCTAATCATAAAACTTTGCCTAAGAACTCACAGATTGCCCATGTCATGGTGGTTTGAACAAACTAGAAATTACATAGTCCCTAAAGACACCTAAGATTCAGCTTAAAGTTGGGAGAACAGCAAGGGTTTCTGTCCTGGATGCCGTAATATCAACAGCCATGACACTATGGGATAAGCACTAGACCTTAAGGTTGCTTTGAACAGCGAGGTTGGCAATTGAAACTCACCAGCTGCTACTTGGAAATCTCCTAAGGGTCACTGTGAGACAGAATTGACTCATCAACACTTAACACCTTATTGAGGTATCTGTCCATGTGTGTGTTTTTAATAGTTTCTACTAAAATATTTTTTAATGTATAAACTTCTAAATAATTTAGAGATCACAAATAGGATAAATTGTCTGTAAACCTACCCCTCCCCCCAGAAAAAAAAAGAAAACTTAAAATGTTTTTCTATGGAATGATACAAATGTCTATTGACTAACCTAAACATTTCTTTTTTAACCTATGTAGGAAATATAATCTCATTTATCGTACAATCTACAGTTATAATTTTTTAACGTACTCACTGTGAGGTGTCCTGGTGTATCACTGTGGGTTAATGTAACTGCAAGGTCAGTTTAAACCGCACCAGCCACTCCTTGGAACCTCTATACAGAGTTGCTATGAGTTGGAATCGACTTGACGGCACGTAACAGAAACAAGTCATGGTTGAATAATGTTAATGACTAAAATCTACATTTAAAAATAATTACCACCCTTACTCTTATTTAAAATATAGGAAGCTTTTAAGAAATCATATTAATTCTGCCTTCAATGATAAATCTTTGGTTTAATTTTCAAGGGACTGAAAAATCCTAACTAAAAAAATTGGTTAAATTCTTCTTTTTGCTTGTGAAAAATGACACTCTACTCTTAATCTCTGTAAAATAACCACAGTGCATGACCTGTAATAACAGTTTTTTCTTTTCACAGCCTCAGTGTTTACTTGTCTGGCAATAGCCTTGGGATTTTATAGACTCTGGAAATAGCAAAATGACTACAGGCTGCTGCTGTTGAAGTCTTAGAACACTACACCAAAGATACGTTGCAGTGCCAGTAAGCACCAACAACTTACTGTAACAAGATGATTCAAAGCACTTACGGAATAAAAAGAAGTTTTACAATAGAAGATCTGTTTATCTTAATTTGGGGGGATGATGAAAAGCTTGTGCTTAAAACCTGATTCCAACTCATACGACCCTGTGCAGGGTTACTGAGTCTAAATCTTTCTCCCCAGGAGCAGCTCATAGACCTGGAAGACATGTTTATCCTACAGAGCTACCACCATATTTGCTTGAACTCAAAACTGTACATCACACAGGATTTCCTTCATATTTCCTTCATATTTCTTTCTGTTTGTTCTTCTGTTTGTCCATGGTATTCTTAATATTCTTCTCCAACATCTCAACTCAAATGTATCAATTCTACGATCTTCCTTACTTATTGTGCAACTTTCACATGCATATGTTCTTGAAAATACCATGACTTTCATCGGGCACACCTTAGTCCTCAAACCGATTATCTTTACTTTAAAGTCTTGTGCAGCAGGTTTGCCTCATACATTATGTCATTTGATTTTTTGACTGCTGCTTCCATTAGTATTGACTGTGGATCCAAGGAAAAATTTCAATCATCTCTCCATTTAACCTGATGTTATTTATTGGATCAGTAGCGAGGATTTGTTTTCTTTACATTGAGGTGCAACCCATACCGAAGGCTGTTCTCTGTAATCTTTACCAGTAAGTATTTTAACTCCACTTTCAGCAAGCAGGGTTGTGTCATCAGCATATTGCAGGTTGTTAACATGTCTTCCTCCAATCCTGATGCCAGTCTTCATATAATCTACTTTCTCGGATTATTTGCACAGAATACAGACTGAATAACTATGGTGAAAGAATACAATCCTGGCATATATACATCTTAACTGATTAAAACAATTTACTATCCCTTTGTTCTAGACGAACATCTGCCTCTTAGCCAGTGTACCCATTCCTCATGAGCACAGTTAAGTGTTCTGGAATAACCATTCTTCCCATTGCAATCCATAGCTTGTCATGATCCACACAGTCAGAAGCCTTTGCATAATCAATAAAGCACGTGTAAACATTACTCTGATATTCTCTGCTTTCAGCCAAGAGCCACCTGATGTCAGCATTGATAGCCCTAGTTTCATGTCCTCTTCTGAATCCAGCTTGAATTTCTAAATCAATTCTCTGTTAATGTATGATTGTAGCCATTTAGTTGTTTTCAGAAAAATTTTACTGATACACTTGAGGATTTCCACATTCCATTGGGTCACCTCTCTGTAATGAGCACAAATGTGCATCTCTTACCATCAGTTTGTTGAAAGTTTTCAGTTTATATTCCTATCAATTTCTAGAGCTTTTTTTTTTTTTTTTTTTTTTGCCAAGGCCTTCAGAGCTGCTTGGACTTTTTCCTTCAGTACCCGTCAGTTCTTGATGATGACATGCTACCTCTTAAAGTGGATGAACAACAACCATTTCTTTTTGGTACAGTCTCTTGACTGTTTTGTATTTCAAGGATTTGTAAGTGTAACTAACTAAGCAAATGACAAGGTTATTTTGAATACCTGATGGATTATATTATGATTAGCATATTGTAGATAATTTCTCATTACATTAGTACATAAGGGTCATATAGGTTTTTAAAGTCCATTGTAGCAAATGTTCACTTAACAAACATGAATGCCTACTATGTACCAGTTAACATGCTAGCCCCTCTGTAGAGATACCATTCTCATGCAGCTGACCCTCTTAGTGGACAACATAGAAAATAAATGATTTTGATTATAAACAGTTTAAAATGTTGAAATAATATTATGTAAAGGACATTCTAGTAGGGTAGCATTCATGTCACTCTTGGTTCTTTCATCCACTTTGCCCATGGTAAATGACTTACCTAATTGTCAGTTTAGAAGAAAAAATAATGCTCAAGTAGTCAAGTCTCCTCTTTTTTGGGACCATCCTGTCTAAGAGCATTGCTTCTGTAGGGTCAGGCTCTAACTGCAGTGTGAAGCTTGTCCCAGTGCAGTGATCTAAGTAAGTTATAGTCCTGGAGTTCAATCACAGGACACTTCCTGTCTAAAGATGCTGTAAACCATTTTCTCTAATCTCAATCTTAAGTAAATAAAGCTGCTATTGCTCTGTGTCAAGTCCTTTCCAGCTGAGAACAAAACTGCTTGGTCCTACACCATCGTCACAGTCATTGCTGTTGCTGTTTGAGCCCTTTGTTGCAGCCACTGTGTCACTGTGTTTCACTGAGGATCTTCCTCTACTGTACCAAGCTGTGCTGATGTCCTTCCCAGGGACTGGTCCTTCCTGATACCATGCCCAAAGGATGTTAGAAGAAGCCTCACCTGCAGCAGATTTGCCCAATGCAGTATGTTGTTTGATTGCTTGACTGCTTCCGTGGGCATTGATAGTGGATCCAAGTAAAACGACTTAGGCCTCAGTAAGTTCATACCTGCTCTCAATTATGTTGTCAACCAAGAAAAGAAGGACAAGTACCATCTATTGTTAAGTGCCATCAAGTCAGTTTCAACCCATAGCAACCCTGTATAGGGTTTTCAAGGAGCAGCTAGTGAACTTGAACCCCTGACCTTGCAGTTTGAACTGACTGCAGTTGAGCTCATTAACCCACAGTGCCACACCAGGACTTCATTTAGTGGGCTTCCTCAAACTCCAAGAAATATATCAAGATGCATATTTGCAGTTTATAACCACTTAATATAAACTCGATCTTGTGCTCAGTCTCACTGTAAGGATTTAGCAAGCAAAATACTTTGCATCCAATAATAGAAAAGGTATATACACCATACCTTATCATCATTACTTCTGGATCTTCTTTATCTTGGTAGTTTTGAAGTTCAGAAAGATTTTGGTTAAGAGGATGGAAATATCTGAAATGAAAGGGAATGGGATGATTGTGGCCCCACAGATCTCAAAACTACAACTCTATGCCTGCACTTGCACCCCACTAAAGCTTACCTATTGTGTATGTCTCTCTTCTATACTATACGCTCTCAGAAAAGGATATCTTACTCATCTCTGAACCTGTATGCACAGGACTAGTAAAAGGTACTTGCTATATGTCTGTAAAAGAAATAGCAAATTTAAATTTATTAATACTTAAAGTATGTGATTATGCTTTCATTTCCCCTTCGTTTCTAAGAAACCTTTCAGGCATTTTTTGTGAATGACTAAAAGCCTCCAGTGGATTAGCTACCTTCACCTTGTTCTATGGCCCTGAACTATATCCTAATCTGTCCTTTTGTGTTGTTCAGTGACTAAGTGGATCAGGCAGTAGTTAGTAAAAAGTTATGGACACTAACCCTGAAACTAATGATAGGGATTTTTATGGAATACAGTCTGCTTTTGGCCACCTGATCTCTGGTGTGGTGCTGTAGAATACGCACTGGGCTGGGAACTGCAAGGCCAGCATCTCAAGCCCACCAGCCACTTCCAGAAACCTATACAGGGTTGCTGAGTCCGATCCAATTCAACAGCACCGACCAGCTAACAGAAAATATGCCTAGTAATGCTTATTAACTTACCTATTTCTCCTAACACTCCTCTCGGGTGGAAGTGGTTTTTATCATTTCAAAGCTCAAGAAACAAGCTCTTAGGGAAGTTAACTAACTTGACCAAGGTCATACAACAAATAGCCACACAGGCCCAAGTCTTCAATTCCAAATCTCATGTGCTTACTAAGTATAGCAGTAGTCTACCAAGTTTAAGTACTCTTATCTCAGAAGGCAGACATTCTACTGAGACACGGAAACAAAACATCAGAATTCATTTTACATCCCTTTCTATTTTGTACTATCATGACACCTCATATATGAGATTTATATGGACTCCAAGTGTGGCACCATAGGATAAGCACTGGACTGCTAACCAAAAGATTGGTGGTTCAAACCCACCAGTCACTCCTCAGAGACACTATACAGGGTTGCTATGAGTTCAAACTGACTCAATGGCACTTAACAGCAACACTGACAAATTAGACATAATTTTGGAATTGCATTAGGAAACAAATGTAGCTGCTACAACAAGGGACTTAACTAAATAGAAGTTTATTTCTCTTTTACCTGCAGTCCGATTATAAGCATTTCATGGGAGAAAGATGAGGCTTTCTGCTCCTGTGAAAATGTAAAGCCTTGGAAACCCTATATAGTGTTGCTATGAGTAAAAACCAACTCGACGGAGCTGTAACTAGTATAAACATTTAGGATTAATGTTAGCTTTTTTTTTTTTATCATATTGTGCTACTGTCCCTGGCATTGCCTTCATTCACAAGGCCCAATGACTCACCACCAATATATTCCAGTAGGGGAAAGGGCAAAGAAGTAGGCCAACCCTTTGAACTTCAGAGACATGACTAAAAGTTACACTTGTCCACAATTTTTTTTTTGCCACAACTTGGTATATCTTACCTGCAGGAAAAGCTAGGAAGATAGCTTTTCTCATTTACCACCAGTGCTGGTAAAATCTTACTAGGGAAGAACAGACATGTGAAGATATCTAGACAATGGGTATGTGTTCAAAATATTTGACTTTTTGCCATTCGGAATGTGTAATCAAATCCGTTTAGACCACTGCATTCCAGTATACTGCTTCAGAGCTTGGACTTCTTTTTAACACTGTTCTGAGCTTTTGTTACAACACTCCAGTATTTCCTACCTTGCTGGTACAGAGAAACTAAAGAAAGTCTTTTAAAAATTGGAGCAAGTATAAAGAACTATTTCCAAGATTGGAAATAATTTTAGAATCCCTGAGTTAGAAGGAAAAAGTAAGGGTGTTTCTATCCCCAGGAAGTGAAGGAAATGTTGGATTTGGGAGTTCCAGCAGCAATTATGTATATTTTATATATTGTGATACCGATTCGGAAGTTTTCCTGTGAAGGTTAGAATCCTGGTTCTGCTTTGTTTTGCAATCCAGGGTAAATTCCTAAATCTCTTACCTATAAA